ACAAACTTTTCACCATATCACTATTATCACCATTACTTGATCGTTTCCTTTTACCCATTTTTACGCTAAGTTATTTTTATTGAAAAAGTACGTGTGAGTCGGACGAACACCAACACAAGTAATGACAAGAAATATGGCGGACCGCGGAATGTACTACGGTGCTGAGGAGTCAAAACACGTACTTTATTATATTTAAAACTCATATTTTTAAATAAATATTCTCTAAAAGTGTGATAAGGACGGCATCATCCCAGGTACTGCTGCATGTAAAACGTAATCATCTTCGGGAGAGATACGAAGTATAATAGACAAGTCTTGTATTAGTGTCATGATATTTCACTGTCTTATGAAATCATGTAGAGCACTACCTGACGCAAAAAAAAAAACAAAACTTTATCGATATGATCAATTTTTGTATTCGATTTTGCTTATAGGAAATATTTATTAATGCTACGGTCTTATTTTTGGAAAATTTGGAGTTCATTTTTGGTAAATGCATGAGTATAAAGTGAAGCTACTGAACCCAGCTCTTTCCGTTTCCAAAACAACCGATTTGCGGTTTGACACAGAATGGTTTTTGTAAATTCAGTAGTTAGTCCACATCGTTCGCAGAGCACCATTCATCATCATGAGAGCGTGTATCAGGGTGTAGCCAAGCATTAATGGGTCCCAGCGGCCTGGACGGGGCATTATATGATTTTTCCAACGCCCCGAATCACCTTCCACTCTTAAGCCGAGACAATAAGGTTCAGAATGGCCTGGCAAATGGACCGGAGCTGACCGCACAAGTCAACTTTCCGCGTCATTTGGCGAAACAGTAATGGATTACAGAGTTGTTGTCTCGAACGTTTTTGCAAAACATAACGACGCCAGATATGCTCCGATTGTCGTGGGAATAAATATCGATGGAATGAAAGCTTTCGCGAGACTATTTGGCGTCCATTTCGGGAGGTAAATCACTCATATTTTATTGTTTTATTCAATTGTATCGAGCATAATTAGAGCAACAGTGCGTAAAGTAATGTATCTTCTAGATAGTAGGTACTTTCTACGTATGATCATTGTTATTTGTATAATGATTTAGCAAAACAGTCTAATTGCAAAATCATAAATACTACAATAGTCTCAATAGCGATCAAATCGATTCAAAATAAAAGATAAGACGTCTTTTCTACGAATACCTATCACCAATGTCACTAGTAGATTCTAGCAACTAACTTTCAAGCCAGCAGCTTGCTAAACCTAAAATATATCTACGAATTCACTCTAAGCGCTAAGAAATTAGTAAAAGTTCCCAAATAATTCTCCCAATCTAACAGATGTCCTACCACAAGCACACTCAACATAATTCGTATTTGTTATGCCAAAAGCCGCGTCCCCGTTTCATTCTGTAAGTGGCACATTGGCAGGTATACGGGCAACTTTACCAAACTTTCGCATGCACCAATTTCATTTGCTAAACACTCCAGAAAGTACACACATTGGGCACATTGCTCAGAGGCCCCGAGCCAACAAAAGTCTATTTCGAAGAAGTACGGACATGAAAGGTTAAATATTGTTAAAGTTTGAATAAGAAACGGAAGTTTGCCCCTGAATAGATGTCCTATAATTTGTCATGATCTATACAGGATGAGTATAATAATTCCAAAAATATAATTTTACTTTTTACATCCAGTACATAGAAACAACCTCATATTATAGTCCTTAATTTCATTGCATTAAGATGAACATAATAATTCCAAAAATATAATTTAACTTTTTACATCCAGTACATAGAAACAACCTCATATATATAGTCCTTAATTTCATTGTATTAAGTACCATAGATTCAAAACATAACAAACAATATTGCACTTTTTAAGTCTCTCATTTAATTACTTAAACGTAAAACTACTAAGGCTGAGTTGCACCACCTTATTTTACCGTGGCTATAACCGGTTATGACCGGTGTTTTTTGTATGGAGTTTGATAGGCTTTTAACTTTTGTTAAAGTTAAAGTAAGACAGTGCAACCCAGCCTTAGGCTCTTAACTACTACTTTTATGTCTCATAATATTGTATTTATTGCTAGCATCCCTTCATTTGATAGTCCACTTATTGACATTAACTTTGGCCCGAACAACAAACAGAAAAAGGGATCACCCTATACCTACATTACCTTGCATGGATATATCGCGGCCTTTACTTTTATCTTGGGCAGGACGGCAAAAACAAAACCATTATAAGGAGCCGTTGATCCCAGGACAGCTCATTTCTCCCCAAATAGGACCACAATACAAATTTAAATGGTAGAATAACTTAACTAAGGTGAGAGGCTCGAGACAAAAATACAGAACATTATTTAATTAGGCTGGATGGACCATCTCATTTTAACTTTGACAAACTCCAAAAATCTTTCAAAGTTCTTACAAAAAGCACCGATTTATCGTTATAGTTACGGTCAAAGTTAGGTGGTGCAACTCAGCCTTAATGTTTGTCACCAACCGGACAATAGATTATAAAACAAAAGAAACTCAATCGCTTTAGTAAACGTAAAATTTCATTTATTAAATCAAAACTATAAGTAATTTTTCCTACCTTCATTCATTAAAATAAAACACTGTCACAAGTTTATTTTTATTACGATTTTGTTGTCAACCAGTAAGTTTCAACACAGTAATACTCAATTAATAGTAAGTATTCGGCTACGATACTGCGGAAAATACTTCACTTTGTTGAAAGCATTTACAAAGATTTGATGTTTGTAACCATACAAACATCAAAACATAATTATACCGAATACTCTCTCTATACCACATATTTTGTGCATTGGGCACCTCATAACAGGACGTCTATAAGTTTGTTCGTTTCAGCCAAATGACATCCACTGCTGGACAAAGGCCTCCCATAATAAACGGTCCTGCGCTGCCCGCATCCAGGTTCCTCCCGCGACCTTTACCAGATCGTCGGTCCACCTAGTAGGAGGTCAGCCCGCGGTACGTCTTCCAGCCCGTGGTCGCGACTCGAGAACTTTTCTTGATTTTAGCAATTCTGCGAGCTATGTCAGTCACTTTGGTTCTCCTGCAAATCTCCTCATTTCTGATTCGATCACGCAGGCAGGGTCTTTAAGTTACTATCAAATAAATGACCTTACTGTTTTCTGTTCGACTGTGACAAAACTTACGGCACTCTTAACATTAATGAGATTATAAAACTTTTAGATCCGAGCATCACTGTTACTCCTGTTTTCATCATAGAAATAGTTTTACTATCGGAATTCTTCGGATCGGCATAGTAAAATGGGACGTTAGTATTAATTGAACGTTTAAGTTATGGAGTTGCTATTTATTTCAGTTATGGATAGGTTATTTTCAATTTTAGACTTAACGTCAATATTACTGTTATTATTTCACTCATATCTAGTACAAAGTAATTTGTAAATATATGAACGATTTAAGTAGGTACTAAAATTCTGAAAAACACACACATCTATAAAAATATCCCAACAAAACGTTTACTGTCAGCTAAATAACATTTCCATAATCCAACTGTACCTCCTGACTCGATGCAGTTTGCCAACTAAACGATAATTGGCCATGTCGGTCTATGGTTCATTTTCCACAAACTTTGCGGTTCAATTTGTTTTTAGTGCCAAAGTTTTATGATTCCGAAAAGATTTACAACCCGTTTAAAACTACGAAAAACATAATTCGTATCGTCGAGTGTACTAAAACTGTTGGAGTAACGAACAAAATAAAACTGTGGGCCTAATAATGAAATATTAGGTGCAGATCACATTATTAAGGATAGTGTACTTGCTTAGTTAAAACTATTAAGAGTTCTTTAACAAAGAGCCAATTTTTCATATTATGTTGTCACACTGACGTCGTTATTTTTTGATGATTTCATTTAAAAACGCCACTATCTCAGTAGAGTCACGTCCGTATTCACAAACGATGCTTGCTTAATCCTTCAAGGCCCGCGAATCTAGACACAATAGATAATCAATTGTTATGACATTAATTAATGCCGTCTGGGACTCAAGCGGTTAAGTGAAGCAGCAAATCGAACACACAGCTTGAATAGAGCTCTGTGACTGGTTCGTGTGTCGCACTGTGAGACCTCATAGTAATGTTTGTTAATACGGACGTCAGGTTATTATGGGACCAGTATTTTATTCCAGATAGAATCATGACACTATTTATTTTCTATTTAATTTGGTTTCGTTGCCCCATATCCGTCTAGGTCATTTATGGCCACAAACTTTTATAGCTTCAGACGGAATTCACCGAAAAACAGGATTACCTACTGAGAAAAGCTACGAACAACAACTAAAATGATCTGTATTGCAAACAAGCCCGTTTTAGTACAAATGTTTCTTCAACTTATAATGAGCCCTCATTCTAATTATTTTCTTTAATGAATACACGAATTTCTACATTTTGAACAGAATATAAGAAACGAGTTGCGTCTTACCTTATGTAACTACAATAGAGTGGAAAACTTCCGTTCCGAACTCTTCTAGAATGTTCTAAGTAAGGACGAATTTGTTTGTTTTGTTCTTATATTGTAGAAATCCTATGTATCGTAAGTATTGTAACATTGTAACAAAATATAGATGATCAGATTAGTCCAGAATCTAGTCTAGAAAGCATAGGTAAACAGTCACAAACATGGCTTTGTTGCGTCCATGGTCAAAACATTTAGAGCTACGCAAATACGTGTATTGTCTCTGTCCGAATTTGCTAAAATAAACGTCATTTATTTATTATATTTTCATTATATTTTCTGTCCTGTTTTGCGCCAATTTCACGTGCCAAAATACCGTATGCAGTAATTAATGTAACTTTCAATTTTGTTATGAAACTACACTTCAAACACAAGCATAATTGGTCCAAATATTATTATTAGAAAATTCTACACAAAATTAAATCAATGCGCAATCGAATCGAAATTAATACTGGATACAAACTTAATTATGTCGTGACTTTTGTGCCAATTAATAATTTTGCTATCGGTTAGCTTCGTCCATTTTCTACCTACTTACCCCGGGAAGCGATCACATCTGTCATGGCAGTCAATTTGTTTAGGACAGTTCAGACATAATAATAAATGTGTCATTCTTCTTTTCCAGCTCTTCGGTTTATCCATCTTCGCCCTTTGCCTATGGATCCTCATCGAGCCTGGCTTCAACGAGTTCATGTCGGTCCTCCAGCTGCAGCCTTACTTCATCGGAATCTACATCATCCTCATCGCAGCGCTGGTGGTCATGGTGGTCGCCTTCCTGGGGTGCGGGTCCGCATTGATGGAAAACGTTGTGCTTCTTTATGCCGTAAGTTTTTTACTGATAATAAAACTTAATTTAGGCGCATTTTATCCACAGTTACTTCTTGATTGAAGTCTTGACAAGTCACTACATAGTATAAAACAAAGTCGCATTCCGCTCTCTGTCCCTATGTATGCTTAGATCTTTAAAACTACGCAACGGATTTTGGTGTGTGTTTTTTTTTAATAAAAGAGGGATTCAAGAGGAAGGAACACTTAGTTATCACCCGGTGCGAAGCCGGGGCGTTAATCTTTAATATAATTCGTTTTTGCCCTCGATTTGTTGTTTGTGACTGTTATTTTGAATTCAGTACGAAAAACAATTAATCTAAATATAAAAAGCTAATATTTCTTTTAAGAAATCTAACTAAGCTATTTAGCTTAGCTTTTCCTTACTTAACATAATATTAGGGTTCACCATAAAAGTTCAATTCAGCAAGGATCAAACTTGCCGATCTCGAATCAGCATTCCGATACAATCCGTGGATTACCGATCTTTGGGTTTTCTTCGTCTCAGTAATTCTACAAATTCATCTTTATTAACTTCTTTCACAGTACATAGGATCACAAATAGCGACGTTCGTCCTGGGCTTGGTTGGAGCGTGCGTGGTGCTCGACTTCTCGACATACGACTCCAGCATACAGCCACTCATTAGGAACTCCATCGTGGGGCTCATGAACAACCCTCAACATGAAGGCAGCAGAGCTGTACTGCGAATGGTTCAGGAAGGGGTAAGTATCATTTATTTCGAGAAACTTCTCGTCATTATAAATCAAAGACCAGTGTACCTACCATGAGTTTACGTTAGGTGTGCTCGCTAGCGAAAACGTCAAAAATCTCTATGGAGATTTTGTTTCTTGAAAGTAGCCGCTAGGGGCGCTGCACAATATGTCATACAATTAATGTCATTTTTTTACGCAGTCGCTAGCGAGCACACGTAACGTAAACTCATGGTAAGCACACTGTAATCTGAGGCTAGAGTAATTCGTATGTACGATATCAGACAACGTTTTTTTTTCTTAACTGCAAACTGTTGTTTTTTATAGGTAATATTATAAAGAGCTATTTTACTGATTTAAATTCTTCTCTTCAAAGGCAACGAAACAACAACATTATTTATCTGAAAAAATTAAAGAAAACACCGCTTTAAACCGTGTTATTTTTTAACGAACGTTAATAGCTCTGAAAAAGAGTATATTAATTTTTCATCGAAAATACATCGTTTTTATTTAAAAAGACTCGTATTCCGAGGATAAAATGTGAAAATCGAGATTCGAGATATCGATTCGAAACCCTCTCGTGTTCTCGCTTCAGAGCCGATGAGCCGTATAATAAAATTACCAGGCACAAAGCCCAACTTTTCTGTTCGTCAAACCACGCGTAGGCGCGCAAAAAGAGCAAAACATTCGGATCTAACGAAGCAAACACGCATTTGAAAGTGGACAGCTGGTGTTGGACTGGTCGACCGTAGACAACTTAGCCTAGAGCCGAGAGGGGAAAAACCATAAATTGTCGCTTAGTTAGCTCTGCCACGTACACGCGGTGCCTATGCATAAACCTAGAGGTAAGCTGACAAAATTAAAACGAGCATTCACGCAGGTTGACAAAATTGAACGTATAAAGAAGAACGGTCACGCCCCATACAAAAAAACCCAGACCCGACAGAAATGAGACATACTCGTACCTCAGTTTTTTTGTCATGTCTTAATTAGTTAAATTATATATTTTTTATATTCGAAATCTATGTATAACACCAAAATATTACCCTTTTTTTGTTTAGGCGTTATACAAAAACTAATACAAAATGCCTATTTATCACCAAAATTGGTAAATGTATGTAGGTACCTAAATGTCTATTACAGCTGCTATGGAATGTATTTAGGTGACCTGGAGATACAGCCAGATTATACAGGGTGGAAACGAGAAGTTACAAAATCCAAAAATTCTATGTTACCAGCTTCTATAATCTGTAACCTATTATTTGGTACCATTTGAAAGTGCTCGTGAAGCACTTTCAGAATCAGTAACTAGTTTTTCGATATCTTGTATAGTTTAGAAATAATCGAGTGAGATCACTTATCGTTTCCACCCTGTATAATCCGGCTGAATCTCCAGGTCACCTAGATACATTCCATAGCAGCTGTAATAGACATTTAGGTACATACATTTAACAATTTTGGTGATAAATAGGCATTTTGTTTTAGTTTTTGTATAACGACTGAACAAAAACAAAGGGTAATATTTTGGTGTTATATATAGATTTCGAATATAAAAATATATAATTTAACTAATTATTACATGACAAAAAAACTGAGGTATGTCTCGTTTTTGTCGGGCCTGGGTCACAGATGACCGTTCTTCTTAAAGCTAAAACCTAATGGTTTCACAACGCTGCACATGCGGGCAAAGCATAATGATGTTTCAATATGTTAAGCAGAATATAATTTTTTGCTTCTACAAAAAAATTTAAGTTATTACTTTAAATTTAAAAATTGTAATAAATACCAATGTCATTGATTGATCACGGTCTCTCTGCCAACCATGGAGATTGCTCAACTTTGTCAGCAATACAATCCAACGAAATCTGCGTTGCAGTGCAGTTGTCTGTGGTACCATGCTATAATCAAACGCCCTTGTGAGCATTTCCTACGGGCTTGGTCCCAATCATAACTCAACATCCATTGCTATGTTTAGAACAGATGCAGTGTTCAAAACGATCGCAATTAGGAACGTGGTCTGCTCACACACTATTGGACCTGCGATGAAAGGTATCAAAGACAACCATTCGAAGCCAGCGTCCTTATAGCGCACGTTGACGGTTGCTATTTGGAGTTTGACAATGCTAGACTGACGTTATACGTGAGAATCAAAGGAACTCTAGTATGTATCTTTAGAGCTCTGCTAACATAAACTTATAATGTGTCAACACATACATTGCAGGGCAAGTATTTTGGCAATAGCGCTCGTGTATTAAAAAGAAACGAGCGTGAAACAAAAGTACCTACTTACTCAGCATTGAGTTGCATAAAAAAGCTCTATTAAACTGTAGGTCTGCATTGTTTTATGTTAAATGCGAACATTATGTCACCAAAGCAGCTAACACTAAAGCCAAATAGAATCGATTTGTGAAGCCCAAGCCCTAGAAACACCTATCGGATCTCCAGGGAGCCAGTATCCTCGGAATTCGTAACTATATTGACATTGCAATGCACTGGCGCATGTCGCTTCCACTTGATCGCCTCAGTAACGTCGGACACGTATGTTATATTCAATAGCCTGGAGACATACTTACACATTTGCTATGCGTGTAAGCAGGAACATAGAAATTTTATGATTATAGAGCCAGTGCTTAAAGAAAATCTTCTTAACTCTTCAGATCTATAGTCTCCACTGCAGGAGTAGAACCTTTTTTATTTTCCAGAGGTAAATGCAAGATTTGGCCTAAACTCCCCACGCGTTAGGAAGGCCTAATGATCGCATTACCTACTTGTCACTTAGTCGCCTCTTTAGACATGCACCAGAAGAGTAGAAGTTTTATTCTAATCTACTGGTGCTGGGAACCATGGCATATTATTGACTCTGTTATGACTATTTTCCACTGACCTCCCACTCGGCGGGCCGACGACCAGGACCGGTCGTTGAAATCCGTGGGGGAGTTCTTTATCCAGCAGTAGATGGTATTTAGTGAAAACGAATGACTGAAAGATAGATAGATAAATCGTTATTTGCAAACACTTTTATCACACACATCATGTATAGTTGCAGTGGACTGTTGTAATAATATCTTTATTTCTATTCTACAGATCGGCTGCTGCGGAGCCGACGGGCCCATGGACTACATCAACCTGAACAAGCCCTTCCCATCGGAGTGCCGTGACTCTGTGACCGGGAACGCGTACTTCCACGGCTGTGTTGACGAGCTGACCTTCTACTTGGAAAGCAAAACTGGCTGGTTAGCTGGAATTGTACTGGCTGCTTGCATGATTGCTGTAAGTTTTTTTACTGCTTTTTAACGTCAGATTAATAGGCTTGCCGTAATTTTTTTTAAATCTTAATATTGAAAAAAGTATTAAAAAGTCTAAAAATTTTTAAAGATCGCTTCTTTAGTTCAAATAAATAAAAATATATCTTAGTAAAATATGCTTCATTTGAAAACATTTCAATAAAAAAAAAGTACGCTGTAAATACAGTGTGAATCACGTTAAAGTGTACATATGAAAATAGATGAAACTAGACCTATTTTTATCGACAAAAAAGAGGTCAAAAATTTTTTGAGATTTTTTAAAAAAAAATTATAGAATTTTTTTTCTTCAAATTACTTATTGTAAAGAAAACGTAATAACTTTTAAACTAAGCGGTATATCCTGATAAAATAAAAACAGTAATAATGCTAAATAACAGGCGATACTAAAAAACTACATAAAATACACAAAAAATGCCAACAAATAATAAAAAATAATACTTTTTGAAAAAAATCTGCTTAAAAATTCGTGTTTTAATGGTTATTTTATAAATTTCTCCAAAATATGCCCCTATAACCGGTAGTTTTTATTACTTTGTATTATTTTCTATCGTATTATCTTTGTAAAACCAAAAAGCGCATGTCTCTATCCCTATCACAACATTTGCTATGATCGTTTGAACAAAGGCCTGCCACAACATTATTCTCCGCTACAGGTAGAGACAATTTTAATTTAAAAAAAAATAGGTCTAGTTTCATCTATTTTCATGTGTACACTTTAACGTGACTCACACTGTATTATTTAATTGTCAAGGGATATGTGAATTACCTGTTTCTTTATTATGTCAAGATTCAGATTTGAAATAAATAATAAAAACATTTATTTGGTACCAAATAATGGTTAGACCATAGGAAAAGTTATGATCTAATTGATTGATTCATCTTTACAGGTTATCAACGCCGTCATATCGTTGGTCCTTATTCACGCAGTGAAGAAAGAAGAAGATGAAGCGATAGCTTACAAATAATTATCTATATACTAATCTTAGAAATTAAGTGAACTAAAAAATTCGAAAAACAAAATTGTTTATTATTAAGTTAGGTAGTGTTTTGTAAACTAAGGTAACCATGTATTTTTCATAAAATATGTATTTTGTTTCAAATTATCTGTATATAATATGACACGACAGAAAATGACACCCTGTATTCTACCACCGTTTTTTAAAATAAGTAAATAAATAAGTAACACTAAACAATAAATTATTTTTTTTTAAATGCCGTTCATATCTCAAGTACTTAAACAATACATAGAAAATAAAAGATTTTAATACAAGAAAACCACGATCAAAGGTTTTCTAGGTTCTAGGAATATTAATCCTATTCGTTATTTAAATAAAGCATTAATTTGAAATACGGTTTATATTTTCAGAGCAAAGATAATTAGGTTCTTTTGCAAATATTATCTAATCAACTTATATTTTAGATTAAACCTAAACGGCTCGAAGGCTTAGAGCTAATTAAAAATCGCGCTATTCAACAAAAAATAATATAATAATTATAGTCCGCTCCAAAAGACTTTGGCACCCTTGCAAACCAATGAGGTATACTATCGTTGACACCGGTCTTTGAACGGCTGAGGCTGAGTTAACGGTGAGGCACTACGTTATATTAACCATAATGTTGAATTGTCGTTTGTCAAACATTTGTCAAAGTTAAAGTATGACATAGTCATACTGTCACAAGTACTGACATAGCCCGACGGAGTAGCAAGCTGAAGTGGCAATGGGCAGGGCACATAATACGCAGAACTGACGGCCGATGGGGCAGCAAGGTTCTTGAGTGGAGGCCACGTACCGGAAAACGCAGCGTGAGTAATACCGACGACCTGATAAAGGTAGCAGGAAGGCGCTGGATGCAGGCCGCTACCAACGGTGCGATATTGTGGAAGTCATTGGGGGAGGCCTATGTTCAGCAGTGGACGTCCTGTGGCTGAAATGATGATGATGAAAGTTAAAGTAAGATCGTGCAACTCGGCCTTAATAATTTGAGTTATTTTGATTTCAGATTCTATCTCTGTTTCAGACAATGTTTAACATTTTTTTTTAAATGCCAAGGTACTTTGACTCGGACTAAAGCTTCTAAAATTTGCTTGGTTGCCATCTACTAGGTAAAAGCTTCAAGATCTAATTAAATAAATCCAATTTATGCCCTCACAAACAACACCCACACTGAATGTAACCAACTTTTGTGTTTTCAGACGTCTAGAAACAATGGTTGTCTCTTAGGTCAACAACATCCAATTGTATTAAAGAATACGACTTGTTTTCCAGCGGTAATATGTCTTATGTTCTGTTTACATCCACAGTGAAAACAAGCCATCGCTGCGTCATCACTTTGACTTTTCCCTTTGAATCGGGCTCCATTTCCTTGATATAACAACTATGGCAAGGAAACCGTTGTGTTGTATGAATTCTCGCATACTGCTAACCAAGTCAACTAGGTCTCCCCTGCCTCTTGTGTTGTTGACGGTATACATCATTGAGGGGATTATGTACAGTCGAATACGGGTCTAAGGATCCTGGTCGAGTTATTAGAGACGTAAATCCGGTGTTATCGTTCGATTTGCTCAGTAATAAGACGTGATCGCAGACGGCTGATAGATTACTTATTGGAGGAAATTAGAACGTCTCGACGACGACGGTTTTCTATAAAGTATTATTAATAACAGACACGGCGGATTACTTCTGCTTTTATTTTGCTGGGAATGCAAGAATGAACATTATTGTTACACGATAGATGTTATGGGTTTTAGGTAGATAATAATATAAAGGTAAGTGTAATTATAAGGTTTATAAGGTTTGAATAGAACTAACGAATTGAATAGAGTGTTTCTTGGAAATCCACGCCTATGAAGCCAGATGTATGTAACTGCTACGACGTCTACGAGTGCTACGAGTACCTAATACTACTTGTAGTAGTATAGTAGGTACTACGTTACTTGCGGTGTCTGCGAATGTCATTTCGTGTGGTCACAATATAACTATCTTACTATGTTAAAGGTATTTATTTACCTTCTAGGTACATTAATCAGAATATAATTATTATTTTCAGCGAACAACAAGGCTTAGACTGTTTGAAGAACTCCCTACCTACACCAAACGAAGTTATTTGTTTCTACGTTTATACGAACTGTAATAGAATTGAATTGTGTTCTATCGTCTGTCATCCCCCTTCTTTTATAACCTGGAAGTCTTTCAAGTGATTGGACTAGATACGAGTATTAACTAAGTCAACGTCTTTCATCTTTACATCTCATCAACACTCTTCATAAGGTGTGATTTTGGTCAAAAGAAGATTCGAAATTACATTTAAGAAAGTTTTATAATTATCACCATAATACATAGTAGGTACTTAAGTTTTACTTAGTTTGGGACTAGATGGTGCAGTGTAATAATGTTTATGGATATTTCTTTATTTACCTACACGTCAGGTTATGTAACCACTATAATCACGTTAAGCGCTAATCTGAGATTAACGGCAAATTATATCTGTGGCCAGTAACAAAGTTGGCTACAAATAATTAGACGAAGTTAGCCCGGATCTGTTTGCTCTAAGTTGTTTGTTGCTTATAAACATCGCCCCGGATATTAACCGTTGTCCGGATGTGTGGAAGAGTGCCGACTGTTCTATTAGTTACAGTGAAGAGGTGCATAGTAGACTCTACGTTATAGTCATACTCATAAGTTTGGCGGTGTGCTATGAATTATGATTGCCAATAAAACTTCTCTACACTGAACTGCAAAGAAAATATTGAAATTTATTTTATTTTATTTTTTATTTTATTTTGTTTGGAAAACATTCAGTGAAACAATAACAAATTATAATCTTCAATATTTTCAAAAGTACCTTTAAGATTTTCTAATCGACCCTTTTTCTTTGCTAGTGAAGTAGAAGTTAAATTATTTCTGAGTTTCAAACTATCATTCTCTCATGATATAAATCAATTAATTTATTCAGGAAGAGTTTCCTAAAAACTAAGGATCAAAATTGTAGTTAGATCCTGTAGGTTTTACAGTAGTAAGAATCGACCCGATGCCTTAATAATTGAACCTTAGCCCTTAGTCTCGAAATATTAGATCATGTAAATTAATAAGTTATCTTCTTTATTAATGAAAAATAAATTTAAACATGCTCGTCTAAGTATTCGTACCTAAACGAATACATAAAGGATCATGTATAGATTGACCTTACTGTGACAACCTATTTTGTGTATTGGCTGCTTTATTTAGTCATCCCTCGTTGTATCTACCGATGTACGTCCAGTGTACCTAAACGGTTTACTTCCGTTCAAATGGTAGGTATTGTTTGCGGGATTCCAATTTGGCGAGCAAAACATATAACCACAATTGACCTACACACTGCCGGACTTACTTTGATATATTTGTCTCCCTTACACGTATCAGTAGGATAGCAGTATGAAAAAGAGAGACATAGAATCAGATCAGACCAAAATTTCATGAATAAAATGTACAAATAATATTTTGAAATACGTGTGGCTTTGGTGAAGCGTCAAAAGTCATTATTGTGTACCTAAAGGTAAATATGTTTTGTTATGAGGTATTTTAGTAAACAGTGCTTACCAAATAGTGCTCAGTTTAATAATGACCAAGCTACAAGATGGTGTGTAGCAGCTACGACATCTACGAGTGCTACGAGGCTTTCCTGTGGTATCTGCAATTGTCACATCCTGTGATCATAACCGTTTAAACACTACGTGACGCCACACTAAGCTAAAACACTGACATTACCGTAACTGTAATAGGTACTATGAGTATTTTGCAAAGAAGTAATAATATATTCTGAAGTTCTCACGACTATACAAGTATGTATAGTAAGTTCTGTCATAGTTCAGTTTACTGGTATAACATTTTAAACGCCAAGTCAAGCACCAACAAAGTTCAGCCATAAATATCACCACGTACCTACAACACACGAACTATCCACAATAATATTCGGCGGGTCATTCTTGGCCGTCGTAAATCGTAAAATACAAAGACGCGGCTAACTTCACCCACAACAGGGCCATTTAGGCACCTTACGACGCAATTAAAACCGCGTAAACTCAACTGCAAGTGCAATCGACCGGTTGATGGTCTGCGATTGTGAGCTCGCATTCGATTCGGTCGGCATTACCCTGGCGATTAACCCAGCAAGGTACATAGTCGTAAAATTAAAGCAATTACGTGTACTGCCAAGGAAATTGTTCAATATCCTGTACAATAATATGTTGGAGCTGCCAGGTACTGCGTTGGCAACGCTGGAAGATTCTCATTAAACGTACGGGTGCTAATGGTAATGTTTAGTACAATTTTCGATTGTGAATTTGAACTACAACTTGTATGACTAAGCTTTTTGGCTCAGCTTATAAAACAGAGCTCAAAACTTTAAGTATGGCTAAATTGCATCATTTTACTTTGACTATAACAAACGTCCGAAATCTGTCAAAATTCATACAAAAAGCACCGGTTATTGTTAAAGTTACGGTCAAAATAAGTTAGTGCAAGTCAGCCTTAGTAGTAAGCCAAAACATTAGCCCAAACTTATTCAGGTTTGATTCTAGCCGCTAATCTTTTACTAAGTTTAGTCATACTTGAGTGTTAAAACAGAATTTTTTGATCATGGGTGAGCTATAAGATTACTTTATATTTAGGTACTTAAATGAGATAATAACAGCATGTCTCAACAATATCCCTAATTGGAACATAAATAAGTGTCTTTAGACTTACATTATTTGATTAAAATTGCTCAGTTTCCTTAGCACTGTGCAGTAATATACCGTGACATTGTGCAACCACCGCACTAAACTAACCCGGCAACGATGCAGCGCTGACCGCAACTGATGGTAAATTTGCCAGGATACACCTCCAAGACGGTGGTGCAATGAGCCCGTAACGGCCTTTACACACTCCGATTACAGCGCACTTGATATAGTGAAGTGATCTGTGATACGCTTAGACAGACAGGGCTCTGAAGACTAATATATGGGTAATACGGTTCTACGAATACTGTAGTGTACGTGTTGGGCTATCCAATGCCTTTAGATTCTAGTAAATTTGAAACTCAACGCGCAAGTGTTGGTTTCAGTGTTCATAGAAACGTAATAATAAATTGACAAATTTTGAAGAATAAATAAATGAGTGTCAGTACAATTTTAAATAGGTACTCGTTATCGTGCTAGGTATGTATTAGTATTGTTACAAAAAATAACTTTACTGCCCATTGAAAAATATTATTATGTCGTATACGAAATATATTCATATTTTTTATTTAAGCCGAGTATTGCACAAAATAAACCAACACAAAATAGTCCTGTCTCTAATAATAATCATCTATAAGAAT